AGGCCCATTTGCCATACGTGTGCACACAGGCAATGACACAGCAGTATCAGTATACACACTGCAAAGGTGCACTCTTGTGTAACCCACCTGTTTTGTGTAACACTGATGTCACCAATTGGCAAGAAGCCTCATTTGTTTGAGCTAGTATAATGGGCTCCTGAACAGCGATGGCTGGCTGCTTTGTTTGCAATAAAGCATGTCCCACCTACCTGCGGCTGCTTGTGTCTTCTTCCAGTTCCTGCTTCCAAGGAGGTCCTGTCCCTAGCAGAGGGGTCCAGACCCAACCCAAACACATCCAGTTTTTTCAATGAATTATAGCAGTCAAAGTAGATTTGAGTTCCTAGGAACTTGTGTGTGGGCAGAACAGTTGTGGCAGCAGCAGCAGTTTCCTCATATGTCCAGTCCTACAGTGTGGTTCTCATATTGTTACTGGAAGCTTATTTTCAAGTCCACATATCTGGCACTTCTAACAATTCCATTAACTACGTAATATTCTTTAATAAATTTGTTTTCTGTTTCAAATAGCCAGAATGGAATTGTTTTCTTTCTGTGAGAGCTCTAATATAACCATATTTTATGGTACCTAAATATTTTCAAAAACCATTTCATCTAAACCTTTTGAAATCTAGGAGTAAAACATTATAAAAATATTTATATTATGCTTAAGGGAAGTCTCTTCTAAACCTCAATGAACTAGAACAGGCAATGATTATTTAACAAGTTATTACTTATAAATAAATAAATTGTCATTGTCAGTTAATTTTAGTACTTATCATTGCCAGAAAAATTGTTGGAAAACTACATTCTAATGTCATAGAAATATTGCATTGTTTAGTAATAAGCATAACAAAGAATTCTATGTGCATTTTGAAATAGCAAACATTTAAAAATGAGTCTCTAAATGTATAAGGGAATAAATTATTATATTCTTTAAGAATATAATTACTCTAAAACTAGGGAAGCTATATTTTTTGTTCTACCTCACCAAAATGTCCAGAAGATATTTATTCCCCATTTATTTATAAAAATCGTGTAAAATTAGTTTATTTCTAATTAGTCATTGATTAATCATCACAGTGGAATCCTTACTGAGCCTAACTGGGACATTTGGTAAAAAAGCAACTTTATTTCAAAGTAGTCAAATTACTTCACAAATAGCCTCCTATGGTTGGCAAAAGGAAGGTAATAATCATGATAATGATAATAAGCTTCACTGCAAAATATTATGGAAAAGACACACAAAATGAGTTGGAATTCCAAGCTTCATAATTATAATTAATATATTAATGTACTAAATAACTTTTACCCTGGCTTATATTGATTAATTATTTTCTTCCCAGCAAGTCAAAATAATTTATCAGTTAACTAATTCACATCAGTCCAGTTAGGATGTGACATTTTAAAATAAAAATATAGAAAAAAACCAAAAAAAACTTAGAACCTGAATATTGCTTATAAGTAAGTTTTAATGTGTGGTTGACATCACAGAAATGCAACCCATTACAATTTCTTTCTCATCAATGGAAATAATGACTTACTAAAAATAAAACCAATAAAATGCCACCTAACAAATGGAGGATTGATAGAAAATCATGATTTATATAGCTATATTAGTAACTGATTCAGGAAAACTCATCAGTACATTCTAATTGTGTGGTTTTTTTTTTTTTTTTTTTTTTAAGCGTGCTAGGGAGAAGGATATACACTCTCAAAATAGCTACCTATAAATTACTAATTAGTTAATTACAAAGGTGAAAAAGTTACCTTTATAATAAAGAAAGCTGACAGACATCACTGTATCTGTGGTAAAGAAGTACTTTTAAGCCCTAGCTCATTTGGCTCAGTGGATAGATCATTGGCCTGCAGACTAAAGGGTCCCAGGTTTGATTCTGGTCAAGTGCACATGCAGAAGGCAGCCAATCAATGATTTTCTCTCATCATTGATGTTTCTAGCTCTCTTTCACTCTCCCTTCCTCTCTGAAATCAATAAAAGTTAAAAAGAGTACTTTTAAGACCATAAGAATAATATTTTGCTGCTCATGATAATAAATAAATGTCAATGTCTACTCAACTGAGCCTGAAGACTATCCCCAACAATAGATGAAGTGTAATTGAGATGGATAGAACAGCTAGTTATTCTGCTATGACCCTTGTATTTTTCAAAATACTTGTTCAATTTTTAGTTGATTTATTATATTTCATTGAGCACACCACAGGAAGCGTCAGTGGACATTTATCAGCCATAGACTTGTACTGTCAAAAAGCTTTCAGTTATTGCATGTCTAACAGCCTTAATTCTCCTTTTATAATTATACTGACATTCGAGGAAAACACTAAAAAATAAAGAACCCTATTGCGATAAACAAATGCTGTCTTCTTCAGTGTTAAACTGTTAGCAAGGATAACTTCAACTAAATAACCAAAGCAGTTGGGCCCAGCATCAAGCATATGTGCAGTGCCCCTCTTATATACCCACCATTGATGATTCTTATTCAATTATTATTCTAATTCTTTTTATCTTTATGGTAAAACTTAGGGGCAGGTTTATAGAAACATAGAAACATTGATATTAAAAAGTTATTTCAGATTTTGCTTGTTTGTTGTAATCATTATTCTTCAGTGGGTTGTAGATCAGAGTTTCTCCTTATGAAAGTGACCATGAAAACTACTGTAAGCTTTTTGTTGTGTAAAAAGATTTCATGATAGTTGCCAGATAGGAAGGAAGAAGGTTGGGAAGAATAGGTGCAAAAGGGAAAGTGATTAAGATGTGCAATCTGCCAGTTATTAAAATAGTCACAGGGATGTAAAATATAGCATGGAAAATACAGTCCATAATGCTATATAATAAAGAAGTAATATGCAAATTAACCCTCAGGCCCTCAAATGATGGCTGCCTATGACCAGACCCCAGACCGGCAGGGGGATTAGTGAGGGATGACCAAACAACTGAACACCAGGCTGCGTGGGGTGACAAGGCTGGCAGGGGAGTTAGTGAGGGACAACCAAACAACTGACTAGCAGGCTGTTTGGGGCTACCAGGCCGACAGGGGGATTAGTGAGAGACAAGCAAATGACTGAACAGCAGGCTGCTTGGGGTGACCAGGCTGGAGGGGGGGCAGTTGTGGGTGACCAGGCTAGCTGGGGGGGACGGGCAGTTAGGGGCGACCAGGCAGGCAGACAGGTGAGCAATTAAGAGCCAGCGGTCCCAGATTGGAGAGGGTGCAGGCTGGGCTGAGGGGACCCCCCCCCCCATGCAAGAATTTCATGCATTGGGCCTCTAGTATTGTAATAACTATGTATGGTGTCTGATGGGTAGTACTCTTATTAAGTTATATAAATGCCTCATCACTATGTTGCATACCTGAAACTAATATAATATTCTGTTAACTGTAATTAAAAAATAAAAATTATTTTAAAATATATTTTTTTTTATTCTTAAATATGGTTTAATACTCTTCTCCATTTCTGTACATCACGACACCAAGGTTTTGCTGCTTAGGATCTCTCTGTAGAGACTATAGAGAATGCAAAGGCTATGGTTTTTACCCCCTCATATTGATGTGTTTGTATGTTAAGTGTAATACATATCAGTATATATTGATACACACATCAATATATAATGCAATATATATCACTGAAGAGAACACATTGATTAAAGAAATACAAAAATTTGGCATCATTTCCAAACTTAAATAGTAAAAATAAAAACTACCAAAGGAGCTGTATACCCTAAATGTATCATGTGAAACAATAAGCATAGTCAAAAATGTAAATTTACATCCAATTTCTCTGGTCTTGTCTTATCACATCAGACCCATTTACAATGGCAAAACCCTAAGGTACTGCTGCGAAGAGGGCATGTTTGCTCGCTCTTCGGTGTTCTGCAAACAAATAGCAGAGCCCAAAGCAAAAGCCTGTTCCAGTGAAGCCTCCCGCATTGGTGAATACCAAAGAACTGACTCTTCTCATTGGGGGTTGAGACATCGACAGGCAGTCATTTGGACCTCAGAGTACAGTGTGAGAACCAAAAACTTTACATTTAAGACATACTCCCTTCATTCAAGTGAAACAGGATTATTGGAACGATAGGCAGGTCTGCAACCTAGGAACAAGGAGCTGGTTCAGACCAATAAAGCTACGAGTGACTGAGTCAAGTTAATGAAGAACAGCAGTCAGGCACTAAAGTGTTGAAAGTACCCAATTTGAAAACCAAATGCACCCCACTACCCTATCAGTGTGAGGTGATACCAATTGACTTTTAAAACCTTTGGCCCTTCAAAGTCCATTTGGTATACTTTTGTCCACTGCTACCACTCGGCACATCCAATGCACTTTGTTCACTGTCACCACCTCGGGCACATGATGACCTTGCATGTCAGCTGGGGTCAAGTCCCAACGCACAGCCCAGCTGTGAAGCATGAGCTTCAGGTTTTCAAGCCCATTTGTGGACCCAACATGGTTATGTCCTGGTGCCAGAAGCTGTGTCCCATCCCTTCCCGCCCTTCCCACCCCCCCTCTCATGTTTTCTCCTATGAGAGGTACTTGCAAGTCCCATATTTGAAACAGATGCTCCCACCCCACCAGGAGGTCAGGGGTTAAAATTACATGCAGTCACACATGTCTTATCTGTTGTTCCTATGAAGAACCTTGCAGTTCATCTTTAAAAAATAAAAATATTCACATAATCTCATGCCATCCAACGCAAGGAAAACACGACCATCTCCCCTTTAACAAGGACAGACCCAAACAAAATAAAATAATCTTTAAATTTCTTTGCTTCCACTTAAATTGCATGTTTTATTTATCCCATTCCCAGCAATAGCACAGAAGCCCAACATGTGCATCCCAAACTGGTTTTAGGCTAAGATTATGGGAGCCCTTGTCAAAGCAACGGATCTAAGGGCTCCCAAAACCCCGGCACAAATTTGCCTGCAAAACACATGGAAGGAAACAGTGCACTGGCCCGATGCTTCATGTGTCAGCTTGACTTGACAATGCAATTTGCATCCTCGAAACTAACAGTCTGGAGGGGGGACGGGTAGTGTGAGGGAGTGAAATTGCCTATTAGCTCACCCTTTCAACATTAAACAAGAGACCGAGAGAGAAATGATTCCAACATTTCACCACATATATTTCTTCTTATGCAGTCTAAGCTGAGAATGCCATGGAAATGGGTCACTGCGAAATGCAGCAATTTAATTTTTTCCAATCAAAATAAGAAACAAATCAGTATGATCTCATGTCTATTAAGTTTTGAAGGTTTCCAGCAGTTAAAGTATTTTTGCTTCTATGTATGAAGGTTAAAAAAATCATTTTTTTTTTCATAAAATACAAGAGCAACCAATTTCACCATCAAGTAAAAGTAAAAACTGGGATTCTTGTTTAAATTAGTCCAAAGTGGCATTTAGGAACTTAGTTGTAGGCTGCTGCTGCGCTGACACCATGACAAACCAAAGTGTAGGGTTGGATCTGGTTTTGTTTCCGTTTTCTTTTCAGTATCCAATGCTCATGGATTAAGTTCTAGAAATGTTCCAATTGTAAGGCAGGGATCTGTTTGGATTCCACCACGGGTATGCTCCTTGGGTTGGATGCTGGAGGGTGAGGCACATTTTGCCGGACCCATGTCGACTACCTAGTAGTCATCAAGGTCAAAAAATTCGTCGTCTCCTCCTTGGTATTCCATTCCCTGGAAATCTACTCGGTACCGCAAGATACCTCCAATGCCACCAAATCCTTTCACAAATTGGGATTCTTCTTGTGACTTATCTGTGACAATTTCCAATGTAGCTCCAAATTTTTTGTAGTTATTAGCAAACCATTCCAGCAAGGGCATGCTCTCAATTAGTTCATGTTCTTGTCCTGTCTCTTTGTCTGTGAAATGGGATTTATCCTTCTCTTGTTCTGGAGTTAGACAGAGATTTTTCTCCTCTTCTGTGCCTTGGCAATGAAGGACGTATCTCATTATATCCAGATTTTCGTAGACTATTAGAATTTCTACAGCTCCCATTTCTAAAGCTTTTAGTGTATCTTCAACTCCAAAACAGTACTTGCCCGTGTCCTGGCTTATTTCATCAAAGTATCGTCCTATTAATTTCTTTTCTTGAATGAATTTCACGTTGGAGAGGATTTCAGTAGATAACTCAATAGCTTGGTTGAATCCATTTTCCCCACCATAGGATATATCAACTAATTTTAAAACTTTTGATTGCAACCTCTGATCAAACATATCAGATTGACTTAGTTCAGTTTTAAAGTCAGCAAATCCAGCTAAAACGAGACCAGCCACATTCACTTTGTCCCCAGAAATAAACAGCTGCACAGTAGTCTCAGCTACTTTCCAAACATAGTTATGTCTCTTTTCCATTCTTTTTTTTTTAAATATATTTTATTGATTTTTTACAGAGAGGAAGGGAGAGAGATAGAGAGTCAGAAACATCGATGTGAGAGAAACATCGACCAGCCGCCTCCTGCACATCCCCCACCGGGATCGAACCTGGGACCTTTCAGTCCGCAGGCCGACGCTCTATCCACTGAGCCAAACCGGTTTACGCTCTTTTCCATTCTTAAACGGGCAAAACGCAAGGCTTACTGACCTCCTCTATCATGTTTCTTTGGGAGATCCACAGTGAATTTGTGCAGGACTTCTCTTGTGTTCCCTTGGAGTGTGCCAAAAAGTGCACCACTACCATCTATTACAATGAAGCCAAATTTGCTGTCATCTGAAAGTAGTGCTGTAAGTGCCTCTGTATGGAATTTATTGTCACACAGATACAATGATGTATTAATTGGTTTGAAAGGTTCAAAGTCAATGTTGACTTTTTTTTCCTTTCCTTCTTCTGTTACAATTGTACCACAGTAAACAACCAGGCCATTTGGAGGTACTTTGTTATAAAGTTTGAGTCTTTGTTGTACAGATGTAATGACTCCCAGGGCTGAAAGGCGGTTTACTCGTGACTTAATGTTAAACACAGTTCCAAACTCATCTGCTAACATTTTGCTACTCGTGAAATCTGGTCTTTGGGAGGAATGATCAATGATATCATGCTTGTGCCATTGCTGCTGGCCGCCTCCAAGCTCTTAATCAGCTTCTTGATCTTCCAGATCTCCACGTTCCTATCCGCAGCAGTGGGGTCGTCCGCCATCTTCTCGCCTCCTCCTCCCTAAGGGCGCAGTCCTGGGCGGCGGCGGCTGGTCCTCCCCGGCGGGCGGCGACTCCACGGCTCTGAGGTAGGACACCAGCTCCTCTCTCCAGGCAGCTGCAAGTGTTGAAATCCGCTCACATGGGGCCTGTGACATCACTCCATTTTAAAATATTTAAGAAAAAAATTAAACCCATCTTAAGACTATAAATAACATAATAAATAAAATTTCTGTTACTAAACAAAAATAATAAAAAATATTTTATTGTTTTTGAAAGCTTAATTATCCTATACTTGTATTTAGCAGGATATCTGATTAGATAATCTAAGAGTTTCTTGTCTACTCTGTGAAAACTTGTTTCTCCAAAGCAGCCCAATAGACTACTAGTGAAGATAAAAAAGAGTGTGAAAGAGAGAAATTCTTTGTGCAAGATGAACTGATGTCACTAAAGGAGTTAAACATTATAAAAATGTGTTGCCCCCAAGTTATTAACCTCATCAATTCATCAAGCATTCTCATTAATTTAAAAATGGCCTGAATGTAATGTTAACAATAAGTCATCACTGAGCAACCATTGCAATGTGACAATTCTGGTAATTACAGACAGTCCTTGGGTTACGTTGGATTTGGCGTATGTCGTTTCGTGGCTACGTCGTCATCTCCCATTTATTTATTAAAAAATAATGTTCCGTCATTTCAACATATGTACATATCTGCTTTATGTTTTTTATTGTTTATTTACAAGTAAAGGTCAGGAATTGTTATCTCTCTTTTAATTTTTTTTATTGCTTCACTTCATTACTGCTGTGTATGTGCTCCATGTGAGTGACATAGGTGCTTATGTAGGTGGGTTCCAACTATACTGAAAACCGCGTTACGTCGTGCTGTAGGAACAGATCTCTGATGTAACCCGAGGACCTACTGTACTTAGTAAGTGGTATAGCAAGGCCTAAAATCTAGTAGTCTAAATCTAGACCCTGCTCTTTGCCTCTATGTACCGTAAATTTTTTACATGAATATTCATACTATAGCAGCTTACTTTCCACTTATTATGCATTCAAGTATGCAAAGTAGATATTTAGAAGTTATAACTTTGAAAGCCTGACTAATATAGACATGAACTTAAACAGCAGTAAATGAATAATAGCTGATAAGTATTGAATAGTTAAAAATTGCCAACTAGCGCAGTTGGCATGGCTCTGGAGTTGAGCATCATCTATGAACCAGGAGGTCACAGCTTGATTGCAGGTCAGGGTACATGCCCAGGTTGAGGGCCTGATGTCCAGTAGGGGTGTGCAGGAGGCAGCCAATTGATGATTCTCTCTGTTGATGAAACGGGCTACATGCTAACCTGACAAACTCAGGGAAGGCCTGCATGGCAGTATTTCAAATTCAAAGACCTAAAATAACCACAAAGGATAGTCTGAAATTAAACTTTAACTAAAAACAGTTATGGTGGGTAGTCACCTCCTAGGCTAGTATCTTCCCTGACAAGGTCAACCTTTACCTTAACTGAGCCTATCTGTCTTTTTGCATCTATGATAATAGATCCTTGAAATGTCTGGGTAACTTGTAACTTCCCTTCTTCTGGGCCCCTTGGGGTACAACCTAATGTGCCTGGGCGCCAGGGCAGATACCACAAATTCCTTCATTGTTATTGTTATCATGTTAATTGTTGACTGTTAACTGTCCTGTACCCACTTAAGTAAGTGTATATCATTTTACTTTTTATCCAATCCCAGGGGTCCACCCCCCCACCCAGCTTTGCTTTCTCCTGCCTCTCTAATCTGTCACCAATGAATTTCATGTAACCCGCCTATGTCCACTACTTTGATTGCAATGTATAAAAATAGATGAGAAACCACCATTCTCCAGAGCATTATCCCAATCCCTTGAGATACTGCTTCCCAGCAATTGTCAGCAGTTTGGCTCAAATAAACTTAGAAAAATTCCTTACAGGTTTGAATGTTTTTACATTAACATCTCTCATCATTGATATTTCTATCTCTCTCTTCCTCTCTGAAGTCAATAAATTTTTTTTAAAAAATGCCAACTAAAATATTCATTATTTTATCAACTAACTTCAGCCAACTTCTTTTTATAAAGGTATATATCTACACTAATAAAAGAGAAAGATGCAAATTGACCATCACTTCATGATGCCCACCAGCCAATCAGGAGTGAGTATGCAAATTAACCCAACAAAGATGGAGGGCTAATTTGCGTACAAAGGCACCGAGCATCTGGAGTGGGGCAGCTGCTTACATGAACGCAGGCGACAAGCGACCTGGGTCCTGGGGACGGGTGTCCTCAGGACCCAGGCCACTCTGAGCCTGTAGGCCTGCTTGTAGGTCTGGAGCGGCTGGGGTATTGGAACAACCCCCAGCCACTCCGGGCCTATGTGCACAGGCATGAAGCAGCCAGGGGCAGGGTGGGACTATCCCCCGCATAGAGTGAGCAGACAGCAGACTGCGGGGACTGCTTGCCCCTGGCTGTGGCAGCAAGGGGCAAGCAGTCCCCCGCAGGGCCCCCACAGAGAGCAGACAGCAGGGCCCTGTTTGCCCCTGGCCCTGGTGGCGAAGGGCAAGCAGGCCCCCACAGAGAGCAGACACCAGGGCCTGTGGTGGCACCAAGCAGGCAGGTCCGCAGAGAGCAGAGAACAACAGGGAGCAGGCCTAAGCCATCAGTAGGACATGCCCTGGGGGTTCCCAGATTGGAGAAGGTACAGGTCGGGCAGAGGGGACCCCCCTGCACGAATTTTGTGCACCAGGTCTCTAGTTTAGAATAATAATGAACCAAGTTTTGCACCCATTAATGTGATGTTTGTGAGAACACAAAGCAAGAAGCACAGTTAGAATAAGTATAAGGAGACTAACACATTACACTCAATACTTGATAAAGTATACATAAACTAAATAAGCCAACAGCAGTACTGAATAATAAGATGATCTAACATAACTTTTCTCTGAATGGTGTGATATGTGAGTAGCTGCTATAATAAATAAAAAATAGTTCCATGATCAAATAAATTTGGGAAACATTAAAAAGTTAAATAATTTTATACTTGCAGGAATTCAGAGGCTTGTGATGTGCTAATATGTATTGTGAAACACTGAGAGGTAGATTGAATAGGCAGTGTTTCCCCCACAAATTTGGAAATTTTTTTTACTAACCATCTTGAGTACCACAGAATATCTATCTATCTATATCTACCTATTATCTAGCTCTCTATCTCTATCTCTATCTCTATCTCTATCTCTATCTATCTCATCTAATCATCTATATCTACATCTAATCTACCCAGACTGGGTTCCATGGCCTGGAACACCAGAGCTGAGACCAGCGACCCAGGACCCAGGTAACATCCAGCTGTTAAAGGCTTCAGAGCTTCTGGCTACTGGGGAGTGTGGAGCCAGTAGGAGTTAAACCTGCAGTTTTTCTGTTTCTTATTTTTAAAATCCAGAGCACAGGATCTTCATTTGCAGCTACTCACCCAAGGTCTCAGCAGAGGGAGGATGGTGCAGACCATAGTTGCCTGAGGAGAGATTAGAGTGGGAAGCATTGGGGAGAGACATGGAAAAGAGGTGGCCTGGAGACCTGCATTCAGTCACACCTACCCAAACTGAAACAGCCATTTTCCTCAGAGGCCCTGGCCACTTCCAGAAACCACAGCCCAGAAAAAGGAAAAAAATCCTGCCCTAGGTGATACAGCCCACTCCACCCTCAGGTGCCCTGCCTGCCACACCCTGCATCCTGACTTTTGTAGGAGACAGCAGCAGAGGCCAAGCCTAGGGGTTTGAACAGTCTCAGGAAGCATCAGTCACTGGTGTGGATGTGGAGCCAAGCACTGCACTGTCCTGGGAACCTGACTGGTACTTTCCCCTTAGGAGAGAGTAATAGAAACTCCAGGTTTCCAGCTGATCCCATTGGACTGCATACAAGCATCTCTGCCCAGCTAAGGGCAGGGCAATATTCTGGGTCACTCAGAGGAGTAGCTCTGGGACAGGGAAACACACCCAGCATGCAGGAACCCTCAGAGTATTATGCTGAGTAAAATAAGCCAATCAAAGACATGTATCACATGATCTCACTTATATGTGGAATCTAATGAACAAGATATACTGACGAACAAAACAGATCCGGAAAAATTGAAACATGCAACAAACTGACATATTTTAGAGGAAAGGGGGGTCGGGAAGAAGTAAACCAAAGAACTTATATGCATATATGCATATCACATGGACAGACAATAGTGCAGTGAAGGCTTGGGGAGGGGGCAGGAGCATGGAGGAGTGTGTTAATAGGAGAAAGAGAGGGAGGGATATCTATAATACTTTCAACAATAAAGATAAATTAAAAAATTAAAAGAAACAAATATAAATAAATAAAATATAGTGACAGTCTAATATATATAGTAGTGAAGCAGAATTTTTGGACTGGAACACGCGGTGTTCCCCTGGGCAAACTGGTCCCAGGTTCTTTGTCCTTGGGAATTGAAGAATGAATTCACAGATAGACGGTGGTATAGCAAAGGTGGAAATTTATTAAAGAACAAGTACAGACTCCCATGTGAGGAGGGGGAAGAGTCCCACAGAGTTCCTTTTCCCTAGGGTTTATAAAGGCTGCAGATCTTTGTGCCTTGATATCCCTTCTGATTGGTCACTATTCCCTTAGACTGGTTGCTATAGTAACTCCTGAGCTCAAAGGTCGAACCTCCTTCCTTATTGTTTTCCTATTCCCTTTGGGTTTTCTTCTTCTTCTTCTGGATGAAGGGCTTCATTCCCTTTATGTTGTAAATATAGACCTTTTGCTGTTCCCAGCTTCCTCATTCTATGGAAATGTTTCTGTTGCAGCTTTTTAGCTCCCCTATTCTATGGAAATATACCTTCTGCTGCTCTGCAGCCCTGTGCTTCTTCCATGGTCCCCTTAATTTCTAAAATTTCCAAAATTTCCTAAACCTGTCCTATTTTACTCCTAAAATTCCTATTTCAGTAGTAGCTATGTAATAGGTAAAAAATAAAATCTTAGTAAATTATAAACAAACAGAAAAACAAGGAAATAGAAAAACAAAAATTCATATTCCTGGACTTGCAGATAGGGATTTTGGATTGATTGCATACAGCTGGTTTTACTTCTTGCCGGCCCACACACTCCTTCATCTACTCACAAACTTTAAAGTATTATTTTCTAAGTCATAAACTCACAAAATAAAAGGAAGATGGATGGGTGCTAAAAGTGACAGCAAAGGAGAGAAAAAGGAATCCTAACACAGGTGAGAAAAGCCTAGAACCAATTCAATTAACACTGCAAAACCTCAAATGTCTGGAAACGGAACATCAAATGTCTGGAAGTGGAGAGGAAGATGGTGCAAAATAAAGAGAATAATTCAAAAATTTGTTTAAAAAATAGAATGCAGTGTCACATTTCCCCATCCTCGTATAAGAAAAGTTGATTTCTGGAACAGTTAAAACAAAGGTCTTCTGGATTGGAGAATACCATACACATTTATCTGGGATTAGAATAGCAAAAATAAAGAGAATTGAATATGTTAGGTTAGGTGGCTCAGGAGGCGGTGCAAGAAATAGAGTCCAGTGAATCAGAAAAGAAAGGAAAGGAAAAGGTTTATTCTGCGTCCCCGGGAGACCCACGTACCCCAAGGACAGGGCACGTGGATTCACGCCAACAGGGAGGGGGGCGCTTTTTTTATACTGCAGTTGGGTGAGGGGCGGAGACATGAGCTGAGGAATTCTCTGCTGCAGGGAATGGGCGGAATATTCAGGACGAAGTTCTTATCTGTGTGGGGGTATGTGAATTCAGGGAGAAGAAGCTGGTATCTGTGTCTGGCACCTTGATCTGTGAGAAATTCCAGGGGAAGTCCATTATCTTGTCATGTCTGCATGTATCCGATCCTGATCCTGGGCTCTCTCCGACCTAACAGAATGGACATTTGCTTCTTGGGTGCTGAACCACCCCCCCTCCCTTCAAAGCCCCTCTGACTACTCTTTGGCTCCCAGCAGTTAGCATCAACATTCATGGCAGGCAGGAAATTTGAATGTCTTCTGTAGAGAAGTCAACACAAGCTAGTACATAAGTAGTTACAGAAAATCAACCCAACGTGCTCAGAACTTCAAATCAGACCTTTTTTATTTACAATTTTCAATCTATAATAATAAAAGAGTAATATGCTAATTAGATGGGACATCTTCCGGACATCATTCTGGATGTCGTTCCTGATGAAGCATGGGCTGGAGGGAAGCTAGCCGGGGTCCCAGGTGCTTGCAAGACGGCCCGAGGGAAGCCAGCCAGGGTCCCGGGTGCTGGAGGGAAGCTGGTGCCCACAGCTGGGGGAAGGAAGGCCTACTCTCGCATGAATTTCCATGCATTGGGGATCTAGTTATGAATAATCAAGGTTTACCCAAACATTTGAGAAAAACCCCTAGGAAGCCTAAGTGTAGAAATACAGTGGAACCTTGGCTCTTCAACTGAACTTGTTCTGGAAGGCTGTTCAAGAAGCAATATTGACCCTAGCTGGTTTTGCTCAGTGGATAGAGCTTCGGACTGTTGCCTGAAAGGTCCCAGGTTCAATTCTGGTCAAGGGCACATGCCCTGATTACAGGGTTGATCTCCAGTGGGTCCTCCAAGAGGCAGCCAATCAATGCTTCTCTCTCATCATTGATGTTTCTATCTCTCCTTCCTCTGGCTTCCTTTCTGAAATTAATAAAACTATATTAAAAATAAATGAATAAAAAGAAGCAATATGTTTGAAAACCTAATCATTTTCCCCATTAGAATAATGCAAATTGAATTAATCTGTTCCAAACCCCTAAATCAGTGGTTCTCAACCTTCTGGCCCTTTAAATACAGTTCCTCATGTTGTGAACCAACCATAAAATTATTTTCGTTGCTACTTCATAACTGTAATGCTGCTACTGTTATGAATCGTAATATAAATATCTGATATGCAGGATGGTCTTAGGCGACCCCTGTGAAAGGGTCGTTCGACCGCCACAGGTTGAGAACCGCTGCCCTAAATGATTCCCTGTTTTAACCCTTCTTATATACAGTACATGTCTAATGTACTCTTTAATATGTAAACAAATATTTCTCTTCCTAAGCTTATTGAAACACCCCTACTAGCTTTAAGGAATAACTTTCAGCTCTCTTCCAGGGGTGCAGCATCTTTGCTTTTTCACAAATCACTGCCTATGAAATGCTTTTCATTTATCCAAATCAGTAACAGTTTTTCTACCTCCTCAATTGCCTGTGATCAGTTTTGTGAGTGCTATCACACCATTAGCAACATCAGCACACTTGATGGCCTTTTTATGTTTTAAAATTGTGCTAATCATTTCTCCAGCAACAGAAGCAAAACAAACAAACAAAAACAACAACAAAAACCCACAAAAATATTCACAGCACAATTTCTTGAGATGCAAACAACAGGAGGTTTAGCTGTAAACTGACTTGCATTTGCTCCTTTTTTTTGTGGCCCCAGAGATGGATTTTGTGAGCATGAAAGGGTTGTCAGGATGAGAACTGAAGTTTTGTTAAAAAATGGAGACATTTTCTCTGTGAACAACTTCTGTGAACAATTGTTCAAGATGTGAGACATTTGAGAACTGAGGTTTGACTATAGTGCAACTTGAAGGAAATGGTGACATTTTAGAAATAAATTTTTAAAAAGAAGAAAAATACTATGAGGAAGGAATAGTCAAATAATTTTGAAGTGCTCTCAGAATGTTTTTGTAATGACAGAAATTTAAAAGTGTTGGAAGATAAATTGTAGGAGATCATCTAGGAAAGAAAGCAAAAGAGAATAAGGTAGAAGAAAAGGTAATAATAGTAGAAGACAAATCCAGAAAGTCCAAATCTGAAGGATAGGAAGATAAAATGGAAAGGAAATAATCATTAATAAGTAAATTAAAAAATATTTTCCAGAAATGATCAAAAGGGTTTTCCAAACATGCCAAATATTTAAGATAAAATACAAAGACAGTAAGACACATTATTTTTAAATTTCAAAACACAGAAAAAACAAACAAAATAAGACATTTTACAAGTTTTCAAAAAGAGGGGGGGAAATGTCATATAGAAATTATTAAGAGTCATGATTGAAAGGGCGAGGGCTACGCCCTCCATCTTACCCTGGATCCTCCATGTTGGGGCAGAGGCCATGTGCTCAGAAAAGTGCCTTCTTCCCGAGCCCAGGCCCCTGCTGGCCACGCCCAGGATTTCTTTGAACTAACCAATGATAAGCAAGGGATGTGCGCGCCATAGAGATGACCACATCCTGTGTAACAAGACCCGACTTGCGCCTGGCCAATCGGCAGGGCCACAGCCAGCTCCCCTCCCCTCACTATGAAAGCCCGGATTTTCACATGGGACTCACTCGGTTTCCAGTCGCTGCGTCGACTGGAGGTCCGGGTCGGGTTAGCTAACTCAATAAAGGACCTTCTGCTTTTGCATCGGACTGACTCCCTGGCATGGTTTCTTGGGGATCTTGAATTCTGGGCATAACATTTTGGGGGCTCGCCGGGATCCCCAACACCATTGAGGGGACTCCCAGTCCGGAGGGCCTGACTGACCGCGGTAGGTCTTGTTTTGTTTGTGTCGAGAGTTTTGTTTTGTATCTATCCTGTGTGAGCTCACTTCTGAAATCTGTAAATGCCTGTAAATGCCTGTAATAATGATCTGAGTGGATGCACGGGATCAATAGGCGGGAGGAGCCGGGGGACTTCCCGATCCTCCATCTGAAGGGGTATAGCTTTGCTTCCGCGGAGTCGGAAGGTCTGTAGGAAACCCCTTAATCTGAGACAGGCAGGAGGAGAGTCGGGGGGCTCTCCGATCCTCCATCTGAAGAGGGGAAAATTTGCTTCCGCGGAGTCGGAAGGTCTGTAGGAAACCCCTTAATCTGAGACAGTCGGGTCGCTCCCGCTGGTTGGCACACAGCCGTCGTTTTCGGTTTTTGCTTCCATGGAGTTGGAAGCTTGTTTTGGTTTCGCTTCCATGGAGTTGGAATACTATATTTTCGGGCCCCTTAGTTGTCTGTGGTTGTGTTTTTTCGGTTTTATTTTGTGGATTTACTGGATGGACGTTATGGGACAGGCTCAAACTACTCCTTTAAGCATTATGGTCGATCATTTTAAAGAGGTAAAGGGAAGGGCCAGCAACCTCAGTGCGGAGGTCCAGAAGGACCGGTGGCGGACTTTTTGTTCTAGGGAGTGGCCAACTTTTAATGTTGGGTGGCCGCCGGAGGGGACTTTCGATCTCCCCACCATTCGCCGGGTTAGGGACGTCGTCTCCCAGCCCAAAGAGGGACATCCTGGTCAACTCTCTTACATTGTTACTTGGCAGGACCTCGTGGAAAATCCACCACCTTGGCTTAGGCCCTTCCTACCTCCACACCCTCCGGAGCCAGAACCCATTCTTGCCTTACAGGAAGCGGAGAAGAAGGAGAAGAAAGCCACCCTGCCGTCAGCTCCAGCTCCCCCCTACCCGGTTTTGCAGGAGGGAACTGGAGAAGAGTTAATTTTTCCTCCCCCGTATCATTTCCACAGGATGCCGGAGAGATTCGATCCTACCCCGTCGCGGGAAGCTGACGCAGTTCCGGGAATGGCTGGGGGCGGGGTTCCGGGAATGGCTGGGGGCGGGGTTCCAGGAATGGCCGCGGTTCCGGTTCCGGTAGGAGGCCCACCTCTCACCCGGCAAAGAGCTCAGCGGGAGCTGTCTGTCTCAGCACCCGACTCCACTATCAAGACCCTGCCCTTACGAGCCGCTGGACCTCCAGATGCGGATGGCAACCAGCCCCATGTTTATTGGCCTTTCGCAACTAGCGACCTCTATAACTGGAAGGCACAGAACCCTAAGTTCTCCGAAAAACCGGGGAGACTTATTGACTTGCTAGATTCTGTTCTTTTCACCCATCAGCCCACATGGGATGACTGTCAGCAGCTTTTACAGGTTCTGTTCACGACGGAAGAGAGAGAAAGGATCCTCAGTGAGGCCCGAAAGATGGTTCCCGGTGTAGACGGAAATCCAACCACAAACCAGGCCCAGATAGATGTCTCTTTTCCCTTAACTAGGCCTGAATGGGATTTCAACACAGCAGAAGGTAAGGAGAGGCTCTTGGTCTACCGTCAGACTCTAATGGGAGGTCTCCGCAGGGCTGCTAGAAAGCCCACCAATTTGACCAAGGTAGGGAACGTACAGCAGGAAAGAGATGAGTCTCCAGCTGCCTTTCTAGAACGGATCATGGAGGCATATCGCACCTATACCCCCATGGATCCAGAAGCCCCTGAGAATAAGGCAGCTGTAATCATGAGTTTTATAAACCAGTCAGCCATGGACATTAGAAAGAAACTACAGAGAATAGATAGATTAGGAGAAAAGAGTTTACAGGATTTACTTGTAGTAGCAGAGAAGGTGTTCAATAACCGAGAGCCCCCTGAGGAGAGGCAAGCCCGCGTCATGGTGGCTGCCAGTGACAAGCAGACTCGAAACCTGGCCAAGATTCTGCTAGCCACCACCATGGAGTCCCCTGGGGAGCGGACCCGCCACCTCCGCCAGCTCGCTAATGGCCAAGAAAGAGGTAAGAGAACTGCCCGGGACGGGAAAAGGAAGCTGCAACAGAACCAGTGTGCTTACTGCAAAGAGATAGGGCACTGGGTCCGAGAATGCCCAAAGAAGGCCGGTAAAAAGGGGAACAAGACAGACCGGGTGGAGGTCTTGGAGCTGGAAGGACTGAGTGATTAGGGAAGTCGGGGTTCGGATCCCCTCCCCGAGCCCAGGGTAACTCTTAAAGTGGAGGGGACACCTGTTGACTTCCTTGTCGACACTGGAGCACAACATTCGGTTCTCCGCACACCTCAGGGGAAGCTAGCCAGCAAAAAGTCCTGGGTGCAAGGGGCAACTGGCATGAGCCAGTATTCATGGACTACCCGAAGAACAGTAGATCTAGGAACGGGCCGGGTATCCCATTCCTTCATGGTAATACCAGAATGCCCCTACCCCCTATTAGGACGAGACTTGCTAACCAAGATTTGGGCCCAAATAACCTTCAGACAAGGGGGGCCTCAGGTCACCGATGGCGAAGGCCACCCCATCCAGGTTCTGACTCTGAGACTGGAGGATGAATATCGCCTCCACCAGGGGGCGCCCCCAGTAGAGAACAATATGGACAGGTGGCTGCAAGAATTCCCCACAGCCTGGGCAGAGACGGGGGGAGTGGGGCTGGCCGCCCACAGGGCCCCAACGCTGGTAGAACTAAAACCAGGAGAAGGCCCGATGAGAGTCAAACAGTACCCTATGTCCCAGGAGGCTCGGAAGGGAATCCAGCCTCACATCCGGAGACTGCGAAGCCTAGGGGTACTGGTTCCATGCCAATCTGCCTGGAACACCCCCCTCCTGCCAGTCAGAAAGCCCCATACGAATGACTATCGGCCAGTTCAGGACCTCCGGGAAGTAAATAAAAGAGTCCTGGATATACACCCAACCGTTCCTAACCCATACACTCTCCTAAGCTCTCTGGCACCCTCTAGAATCTGGTATACTGTATTAGACTTGAAGGATGCCTTTTTCAGCCTGCCGCTAGCGCCTCAAAGCCAACCCCTGTTTGCCTTCGAATGGCATGACCCTGAGGAAGGTTACAGTGGACAATTAACCTGGACGCGATTGCCCCAAGGATTCAAGAATTCACCCACCATCTTTGACGAGGCGCTGCATGAAGACCTCGGTGAGTACAGGAGGGAACACCCCAATCTCACCCTTCTTCAATACGTAGATGACATCCTGATTGCTGCCGATACAGCCAAAGATTGTGAGCAAGGGACCAAAGATCTGCTGGCCACCTTAGGAACCTTAGGGTACCGGGCCTCGGCGAAGAAGGCTCAGATATGCCAAAAGAGGGTGAGTTACCTGGGATACATACTGGAGGGCGGACAGCGGCGGTTGTCAGATGCTAGAAAAGAGACAGTCTTGAAAATCCCTGCTCCCACCTCCCGGAGGGAGGTAAGGGAATTCCTAGGATCGGCTGGCTATTGCCGCCTCTGGATACCGAGTTTTGCTGAGATCGCCAGGCCCCTATACGAAGCCACCAAGGAGGGGAAGGCCTTTAAATGGACAGAGACAGAAGAAATTGCCTTTAATCAGATAAAGAAAGCTCTTTTGGCTGCTCCAGCCCTGGGCCTACCAGACATTACAAAACCCTTTCGCCTCTTTGTAGACGAGTGCAAAGGAGTAGCAAAAGGAGTTTTAACCCAGGCTTTAGGCCCCTGGAGTCGCCCAGTAGCATATTTGTCTAAAAAGCTGGATCCCGTAGCTGCCGGCTGGCCACCGTGCCTAAGAATCATTGCGGCAACCGCGCTCTTAGTCAAGGATGCTGACAAACTGACCCTGGGACAGGAGATCTGGATCACAACCCCGCATGCCATTGAAGGGGGTCCTAAAACAACCTCCCGATAGGTGGATGAGCAATGCTCGCATGACCCACTATCAAAGCTTGCTGCTCAACCCCCCTAGAGTACGGTTCCATCCCAGTGCGGCCCTCAACCCTGCTACCCTGCTACCTGACCCTGACCTAGATGCCCCACTACATGACTGTGCGGGAATCCTGGAGCAGGTACATGGACTTCGGAAGGACTTGACCGATCGGCCCCTCCTGGATGCAGAGGCCACCTGGTTCACGGATGGAAGCAGCTTCGTGCGGAACGGGTGCAGGTATGCGGGTGCAGCGGTGGTCACAGACACGAACACCATGTGGGCGGAGGCTCTGCCCCTTGGGACATCAGCTCAGAGAGCAGAACTCATTGCACTCACCAAGGCACTGACACTGGGGGCTGGAAAACGGCTTAATGTTTACACAGACAGCCGTTATGCATTTGCTACAGCTCATGTTCATGGGGCAATCTACCAGGAAAGAGGGCTATTGACAGCAGAGGGACGGACAATAAAAAATAAGCAGGAAATTCTCGACCTGCTCGCAGCCTTATGGCTTCCTGCCAAGCTAGCCATAATCCACTGCCAGGGACACCAAAGAGCTGATGACCCGGTAGCGAAAGGCAACCAAAAGGCTGACCAGGCTGCAAAGGCAGTAGCCCTTACCTCGGTCCCTACCATGGCCTTACAACTCCCAGACCCAGGGGACCCAGTCTTACCAGACCAGCCCAAGTACTCCCAGGAAGAGTTGCGAAGTATCAGAAAGCTCCCCAGAGCCCAGGAAATAAAGGGATGGTGGCATACACCAGAAGGAGAACTTATACTGCCAGACTGGCTCGGGGACACGATATTAAAACATATGCACCAATCCACTCACCTGGGAACCCGGAAAATGAAGGACTTAATCCAACATGCCAGGATCAAAATTCACCAGCAGAATACCAAGATAGATCAGGTTGTGTCTGCCTGCAAGACCTGCCAACTTACAAATGCAAGGGTCGGATCAAATGAAAGAGGGACCAGGCTCAGAGGCACCAAACCAGGAGCACAATGGGAGGTCGATTTCACTGAAATTAAACCAAGGAAGTATGGTTATAAATATCTTTTAGTGTTCATAGACACCTTCTCTGGCTGGGTAGAGGCATACCCAACCAAGCACGAAACAGCTCAGACGGTGGCCAAGAAGCTGCTGGAAGACATCTTACCCAGGTATGGTTTTCCTGCTATGATAGGATCCGACAACGGGCCAGCCTTTATTTCACAGGTAACGCAGGTAGTAACTAGGGCTATTGGGGCAAATTGGAAATTACATTGTGCTTATAGACCCCAGAGTTCAGGTCAGGTAGAGAGAATGAATAGAACTCTAAAAGAGACCCTTACCAAATTAACCATGGAGACTGGCGGGGACTGGGTGGCTCTCCTTCCATATGCCCTTTACAGGGTGAGGAACTCCCCTTACACCCTGGGTTTTACTCCCTATGAGATCATGTTTGGCAGGCCACCCCCTATCATTCCTAACCTTAAAGCTGACTTACTCGCTGAATTTGAAAATCAAGAACTATCTCTTTCCTTAAGAGGGCTCCAAAGGGCACACGAGGACATCTGGCCTTGCCTCCGCGCCATCTATGAGACCAGCCCAACCCCAACTCCTCATCAACACAGACCAGGAGATTGGGTCTACGTCAGAAGGCATCATCGAGAGACCCTTGAGCCACGTTGGAAGGGTCCCTTCACCATGGTGCTGACAACCCCCACTGCTCTCAAGGTAGACGGCGTCGCGACCTGGGTTCATCACACTCACGTCCGGTCAGCGGACCCCTCCACGATCCGGAAAGACTTCATCACCAAATGGAGCATCGATCGAGATCCACGCAACCCGCTCAAGCTCAAGCTACGGCGTGCTCGACCTGCGTGATGCTGGTAACATTAAATAGATTTAGATAATGCCTGCGCCTTCATGGACATGGCTCCAAAATGACAAGGACAATTCATAGGATCACATGTCTAGTATCATGTTTTATTGTATTGATATGTTATATTGACCTTTAATTCTCTTGCAGGCTTGAGTGTGTGTTGGCTGTCCTGGAAGGGAACTGTGGGGGGTGACCCCCAAAAGTAAAGGATGCTCATCAGGTTTTGGGTCTCTGTTAAAAGACAGTTGACAGTTGGCAGCCTGTGTACTGCTTGCAGGCCTGAGTCATCATGCCCATGTCAGGGTTAGTAAAGCTGGGAAAGGCCTGTTTAGATAAACGGTCTAGAGCATGATTATACATAGAAAGAAAGTTTAATGCCAATAGTTGCTGTTTTGTTTAAAATCCATGAAAAGAAATTAGCAAGGAAAGTCAGAAAATCTTAGAGTAGATCAATATGGTTTTCTCCTTATGTAATTCCTCCAAAATTTGGCAATGCTCAGGTTTTAATAGCCATGGAGGAATTTTAAGAAGAAAAATCCTATTTCAATAGAAGTTGTTAAAGCTTAAATGGTTTCTTTCCCTTCCACCGGACCATTTGTTAAGTGTATAAAATAGTTCAGTTGATAGTTCTGTGAACTCACTACGGGCCCCTAGCGACAGTGAAATAGAAGTGCAGTCCGGCTCATGATTGAGCCGGAAGTTCCAAGACAAGGGGGGAATGAAAGGGCGAGGGCTACGCCCTCCATCTTACCCTGGATCCTCCATGTTGGGGCAGAGGCCATGTGCTCAGAAAAGTGCCTTCTTCCCGAGCCCAGGCCCCTGCTGGCCACGCCCAGGATTTCTTTGAACTAACCAATGACAAGCAAGGGATGTGCGCGCCATAGAGATGACCACATCCTGTGTAACAAGACCCGACTTGCGCCTGGCCAATCGGCAGGGCCACAGCCAGCTCCCCTCCCCTCACTATGAAAGCCCGGATTTTCACATGGGACTCACTCGGTTTCCAGTCGCTGCGTCGACTGGAGGTCCGGGTCGGGTTAGCTAACTCAATAAAGGACCTTCTGCTTTTGCATCGGACTGACTCCCTGGCATGGTTTCTTGGGGATCTTGAATTCTGGGCATAACAATGATGACATCTACTTTTTTCACTGTAACATCAGAAAGTAGAAGACAATATAGTTATCTACCACTCAAACAACCTTCAGTTAAGATGAAGTTAGTTAGAGCCCATCCAGCATGGCTCAGTGGTTGAGTGCAAACCTATGAAGCAGGAGGTCACGGTTCAATTCCCAGTCAGGGCACATGCCTGGGTTGTGGGCTCAATCCCCAGTGAGGGGCATGCAGGAGGCAGTTGATTAATGATTCTCTCTCTTCATTGATGTTTCTATCTTTCTCCCCCTTTCCCTTCCTCCCTAAAAACAATGAAAATACATTTTTTTTTTTAGAAAGATGAGGTTAGAAAATTTTGCTAGTACAGACATTGATTTTCACAAACAAGTAGTACTTTCCATAAGCACTTTCTCAGAAATCTACTGGAGGATATATTCCATCAAAAAGAGGGGACAAATGACATAAAAGTAAAGATATGGGATGCAAGCAATAGTAGATCCAAAACAAAAGAGAGCGGTGAAGGAAATCTCAAGGAAGATGCTGAAAAGAGAACCCAGAATGACTGCTTGGAAAAAGTGGAGAGAGCAACCCAATCTAGATTGGGACACAAGAATCCAATAAATTTAATAAAAATAAAGAGTAAAATAAAAGCCCTCAATAAAAAAAAAATTCTAGGAAAAAGTTTTCTGCGAAGATAAAATAAATAAAACACCAGATGTGTCAATATCTTGAAAAGAGTTTTTTTAATTGGCACACAATTTTTCAGGAAAAAAAAAGTGTATTTTTTTCTGTATGGCTTAGTTGCCATTACCTTGGTAAATTATGAACTGAATATTATAGGTATCCAAATTATAACTATATTTAGAATTTGTTGTGAGGTCTCCCAGCACTGGCAGATATAAGACTCTAATTAGGTTGTCTGAGTTCTAGTCCAAGTGTTCATTCTATTATATTATGACTAGTGGCCCGGTGCACGAAATTCGTGCATGGGGGAGGGTGTGTTCCTCAGTCTGGCCTGCACCCTCTCCAATTTGGGACCCCTCAAAGGATGTCCTACTGTCAGTTCACAGGGATCGGGCCTAAACCGGCAGTCGGACATCCCTCTCACAATCCGGGACTACTGGCTCCTAACAGCTCACCTGCGTGCCTGCCTGATTGCCTCTAACCACTCTGCCTGCCGGCCTGCTCGCCCCCAACTGGTCGCCCCCCCCCCCCGCCCGCTGCCGGCCTGCTTGCCTCCAAATGCCCCCTGCCAGCCTGATCACCCGAAACTGCCACCCCTGCTGGCCTGCTTGCCCCTACCTTCCCTCCCCACTGGCCTGCTCTTCCCCAACTTTCCCCCTGCTGGCCTGCTCACTCCAAACTGCCCCCACCCCTGCTGCCCTGATCACCTCCAACTGACCTCCACTGATGGCCTGCTTGGCCCCAATTGGCCCCCCTGCTGGTCTGCTTACCCCCAACGGCCCAGCCACCCACAAGCCTGATCACAACTGCCTTCCCTCTTGGCCTCTAACTGCCTCTACCTAGGCCCGCCACCATGGCTTTGTCCAGAAGAACATCTGGAAGGTCTCCTGGAAAGTCTCCCAGTCTAATTAGCATATTACTCTTTTATTAGTATAGATGTCACTAGAGGCCTAGTGTACGAAAATTCATGCACTTGGGGGAGGTCTTTCAGCCCAGCCTGCACCCTCTGGCAGCCCTCGGGGGATGTCCAAGTACGGAGTGGGCCTAAGCCATTAGTTGAACATCCTTAGTGCTGCCATGCAACCGGCTTTTGGCTGAGCGCCCCCCCCCACCCCCCCCCCGTGGAAGCACACTGACCACCAGGGGGCAACTCCTGCATTGAGTGTCTGCCCCCTGGTGGTCAGTGCAATTCATAGCGACCAGTCATTCTTGGTTGCTCCACAGGGTTAATTTGCGAATTACCTTTTTATTATATAGGATAATGGGCATTTAGATAAAACTTGGGAAGTCCCTTTTTAATACTCAGAAAATGTATATTATTAAGCTGATAAAGTCTAATATTTTATTAATGTTTCCATTTTCCTATACATAGCTTATATAGAAGTGGAACAGAATATTTAGCAAAGCCATGAACTGAAAATGTTTACTTCCTTCAAGGTTTTACTTCAACTTCAAGGAGCCTTTGTAAGCATCAACATATCTATTTATATTGGACAATTTCCCTGTAGGCTAATCAATTCCTGCAAGGAAATTGTTTTACCAGAACAGGACCTCAGTGAAGAAAATAAGTTCTTTGAAAAAGTAAATTTTTTTTTTC